TTAGTAATGTGTATTGCCTCCTCTTACATTTATTAATTCTTGTATTCGTTTGGGTATACTGTTAATCAAATCTTGTTCTACATTATTCCATTCCTCTTGCAAGGCGTGGCGGAGTGCTGCTAAAGTTTGAGCATTATGTTTCCTAACTTTTCGTTTTAACATATCCCATAAATGCTCTATAAGATTCATATCTGGACTCATAGTTGGCTACATTATTCGCCGTATGTTTATGTCGTTTAAAAAATCAGTAACTATTCCTGCGACATGTGGTCTCGCATTATCTTGCATCAATAGGAAGTTGTCGCTAATAAATTCTTGGTATGGGACAACGTACGGAATAATAATTTCTTCAATATAATGATGGGAATTCACATTTCGTTAAAAAAAGTGAAGGTATAAGCGTCTGTCGATATTCCGGCCCAAACTATAATGGACCCACCATTAAAATTTTCTTTCTTTTTCATGGCGCATAGAGCAAATCGTTCTCCAGGACGATACACTCGTTCACGTCTGTCGGGCGCTCTAAGATAAAATCGACATTCGTCCGTGAATAACACACGACTCCACTCACGAATATTCCAGCTTTGATGTTCCATTGCAAAATTTAATCGAGCTTTACGATGTCGGTATTTTAAAGGTGGCACTATAATACTGGTCTCCGACATTGAAGATTTTCTTCCGCAAGACTTCGTCGAATGGTGTTGTCGCTCACCTCCACTCCAATTTGTTGCAAATTGTTTTTTTATTTCAGATGTAATATGCCGATCTCTTAGTGCTGATACAACAATATATCGATCGTCTTGTGTCGTGGTACATTTTGGACGACCAGATCCAGGTCTTCGATCATATAAGTACCAGTTTCCATATATCGGCTTTACACTCGCTGTACAGTTGTACGAGGAACGTTTAAAACGTTTGCAACATAACATTGACTCCTTCCGTCATTTATTAGCGCTACAACTTGTGCAACTGTTGCAGAATCGATTGGCATTGTCGTGAGTTTGAATTCAAGTATTCTGACACGTTCATATATGTAAAAACGCTACGAATTCTCTGAACTTATGTAGACAGAACAGAGTGAACATAGGTGACAAATGACAATCTGATTATCTCTCGCAGCTATTCATACATATAAGTTCAGAGAATTCATAACGTTTTGACGTGTATGAACGTGTCAGAATACTTGAATTCCCTCTCTAATGAGCTCTCATAGAGAGGATATGTTGCCTTCACTTCGCAAGGCAAACTTGCAAGATCCTTTTTCGGTCGAATATTTGATTAGCAATCTAGATTTTAAAATTTTATGTATAATGCTTAAATATTTAAAACAGGCGCAAGAGAAATTAGAAATTACTTTATAATTGGATTAATATTTTCAGGACGCTTCATGTATCATCTTTATTAGCATGTAGTCTAATTTAATTAATTAAATTAAATAAATAAATAAATTACTTGAGCTTTGGACTAGGGAGACCCCCCTTCTTATGTCCAACTAATACTGTACGGCTTCTGGAAAACTGAGGAAAACTGTGAGGCGACACAAGAGAGGACTCTTAGCCCTTCTCCTCTGTGGAGAATCCTCATTCAATCGAAAACATGGTACTTCGAGTCTGTGAATCGGATATCCATAAGAGAAGAAGAGAAGAAGAAGAACTACACAGATAATGATGGGAATTCACAGATACAAGAAGCTTTTAGGCCTTCGAGCCACGCGATTCATTGTCGCATTCATTCTTTTTGTAATTTCTAGAATAAAGGAAGTTATTGCATACAAGTTCAGTGTCGCGCCTCCTCCTGTCCTAATCCTATGTAGCACACCGCTACAACTTTTATTGCCTTCTCTCTCCTGGTGTTCTCCCGACGATTCAATGGGCGCGCGCAGTTTGTCTTATAAGTCTATAGCAGTGAGATATATACATACTGGAGTGAGCCTTGGGGTGATAGGGATGGTCGAACTCTGCAACAATAATGCGAGAATGGCAGCCATGCAACTTAGAGACGTCTGCTTCACTTTAATGACGTAATTGAAGTGAGACAGACGTCCCTAAGCCGCATGGCTGTCACTCTCACACGGCTACCCCCACCACGCATTTTCTTAGGGAAAACTCACTCCAGTATGTATATATCTTACTGGTCTATAGTTATATTACAATATAGGGTTTCTAAAGCGGCGTCTACATGAGACTTAAGACTTAAGATTTAAGAAAATTGATCAATTATAATCGATTATTCTTTTCATGTGAACTGAAAAATCGACTATGATTGGTCAATTTTCTTAAATCTTAAATCCTAAGTCTTATTGTAGACAACGTTTAAGTTAGAGGAGAGAAAAAAAAACTCTTATTTATTTATATTAGAAAAATAAAGAACCGCATATTGCAAATAATTGTATATTTTCTTTATATTAATTATTCATCTTATTATTATATACAGAAATTAAAGTAAGCGAATTGAAAAATTGTCATTTTTTTTATATACACATATATGTATCGTATGCATATGTATGTTATCATTTTTTATTAGTATTTTGATAATTTTATGTCTTGTAATGTCTGAATTTCAGCAGTACTGGCGATAGCATCAATTTCCATTTGCGCATTCTGTATTAATAAATACACAGAATTAATTTAATAATAATAAGTAAAAATAGATCGATATATGAATAACACAGCTTTAATAATAGTACGTATATATATTATATTTGATTATAGCGGATTTTAAGCCTAATAATATTCTTTATAAAGTTATTTTCCAAAGTATCATTTTTGAGAAATAATTATAAACGCCTCTATATACGCTCACCATCTGTACTCGTTTATACACTAATTCACCTACGTGAATTTGGAATCCGACTTTTACTAAAATAAGTTTACCATAAAAAAATGTTAGTATTTTGTTGGTAGTTGTTTGTAATAATAATTTTATTTGTAGTTAAATAAATTTATAAAAAAAATTAAAAAAAAAAGACTATCATCCGACTTTGAGTTACAGAAGAAACAATAATATATTTTGATTCAGAATCGTTTGTAGTTGTTTGTAGTAATTTTCCCGTCATTTGTAGTTAAACTATTCAAAAGTTACAACATATTTGCAATAAATAAAAAATATAATTTGTCAATTTTCAAGATATCTCAAATTTACTTGCGGCACAATTTTTATAATCGTTTGTAATTGTTTGAATTATATTTACATTTTACAGTTGCCAACTATACGCCGATTATTTGTTGGTTTGAAAACATATATAAGTCTCAAATTGGACTTCCGTTTCCGGTCGGTAAGAATAGAGTCGGTAGAGCTGCAGCTGAGAGCGTGTAGTGTGTGAGTGAGTAGTGTGGTAGAGGAAAGAGAGCGTGTGTGTGAGGGGGAGAGAGGTGGAGTGATAAGGAGAAGGTACGAGTGAAGGGAGCGAAGGGTAAAAGGTATTGAGGCGGGAAAAAGGGAATAGAAAGGGCTGAGTAGGAGAGGTTAGGAAACGAG